TTGTCTTGTCGGTTGTTGATCTCTGTGGATGCAGAACTGTCCACCTATCTGCAAGCACATCTGCAAGCAGCGCAGCTGGGACTCAGCCTCGCTGAAAGCCACTACTGCGATTCATATAATTAATAACCATGACCTTTCTGTACCAGGAGTATCTTGTTCAGTGAATTACAATATATAATGATGCTTGTAGGAAACAGACTGCTGAGTATCTCATGGCCAAGGAAGCCAAAGCTTCCTATTTATGACATGGTGAGATCAATAAATAACTCCATTACAGGAAAATTTGTCATGGCAAATGGCTTCAGCCTGTGGGGTACAAGCTGAAAAGCAGCTGGAATCCATAATGAAATAACAAAAGTTAATGGTCCCATTGAGGCTCTTGGGTGACTTGTATGAGTTTGGGAATGTCCGGATGCTCCCTGGAGAGGACCAGGTGCCCCCACAATGGGCTAATGCAGACAGAGATGGGGAAGAACCCATATGTGGGAGCACTCTCCGGCATTATGTTGGTGCTCACTCATAGAGCAAGGACGGAAGCCACAGCATCACTGGCCTCAAAATACCAGGTTAGTGAAGGCTGTGTGGTGACATCAACAGCACCCCTTCATTTATGAAAAAATAAGGTTGAATGCTCTCATAGTGTCTTAATACCCTTCAAATCCCTCTAGCCTGAGTACTTTCACAGAACAGTGTTTCCTACCTTCTCTTACAAACAGCTTTTTGTTAATATTTGAGCAACGAAGAAAGCACAGCAGCTGTTAGCATCATTTTTCCCTTGAGGCAGATTGTCCTCAGGTAAAACAAAACACAATTAAGGTACCAGCAAGGTCAGCTATATTAGACGATTCATATCCTCATAATGCAGATATTGCCTTCAATGTCTGTCACCAGCATTGAATCCCCAACCACAGCAAGATAATTGGCAGCCTCCTTCTAGGGGGCAGATGAAATGGGTTGTGCTGCCACCAAAACCAGCCTGGATTTTGTTTGTTTAAATGCTGGAGCCTGGGGGTGGTATCGCTCATCTAGCTATATTGTTGGAGAGTCATGTATCAAGGACAGGCTTCTGAGGCAGCTTCTGTCTCCCTCCCATTTACTGCTCTTTTAATTAGAAACCAGATGTTGGGGAAAGATTTAAAAGTCAACTTTATTTGAAATTCTGAAATATAAAAAAACTGACCACAACAATTTTTTGTGTGGTGGGGAGGGGAAACATGAAGGAGAGAAATGTTCTTTAATCCTTTGCTTATAGCTCTTTTCTACTTTATTTTTAACTCCCATTTTTTAAAGCTGTGGTTGCTTTTTTCTCTTATTAAGTGGCCAAAGGCATTCCTCTTCTTCTTTCTGCCCCCTCAAGCCCCCAGAAGAGTTTTTAGGATTTTCTCTGAGAACCAGACCTCACCCGAGACCTTCTCCCTCCCAGCCGGGATTGCTGTCATGCATTCCTCTGCTGTTTATGCTCCAAGACTGCTCAGAAACATCAAATGCAGCTGCCCAGTTGCTTGACTATGTTTTATTTGGGGAATGCATTGCACCTCCTCTCCAGCACCCGTGCAGGCTCCCAAGTGTCTGGAAAGGAGCCAGTGCTGACCTCAAGGCCCTGCTGGAGGCATGGCTGGAGCAGTGGGATTCCTTCCTTGCAGCTGGAGATGCTGGTCCCTAGGTGGTGTGTGGGCACCGGGATGCAGAAGGACCTGGGTGTTGAGCTGCTGGTGCCATATTCTGGAACACTGCGGCCAATTAGATGGAGAATCCTCCAGAATCATAGAACTGTTTAGGTTGGAAAAGACCTTTAAGATCATTGAGTCTAACCATTAACGAAGCACTGCCAAGTCCACCACTAAGCCATGTCCCTAAAAGAAGGCACCAGAAGCTCTCTGATCCAACAGGGGAAAGTATCTAGAGGAAACTGAAGTCTATCGTGGTCACTTTGGAAGGTCCTCAAGAGGTTGACCTGGCCATCATTGAACCTGACTGCTGAATCTCAGCAAGGATTAAATGGGTGTCATAGGTTTATTTTAGCAGCAAAGTTATGTACAAAGGTAAAAGTCCTTTCATACAAAATGGAAAGCTTCTGCTAAAAGGGAGGCAAAGCAATGCTGTACCACTCTTGTTTCTGTTCTAACACAACAGCAGTCAGCCCCAACTAGAGAAGGCAAAGGATGTAAGAGGAGGAACTGGTTCCTCTTGTTCTCACCTGCCAGCTCCCCCCAGCTACTACATTTTTCGCTCAAAGTTTGATTACCTATTTACTGTGTTATTAACCCTTTGGTTAATCTAAGGTCACCTAAGGGTGACTCTCATACGGAAGCACCCAGTACATTTGATCAAGCTCAACCTGGTTTTATCAGACTGTAGAGAACGTAGTGTAAGGTCAGGAGAAGTCATATTGTTCAGTTCCTTGCTGAAGAAAGCCTCAACCTTAAATAAGGTTCCCCTTTTGTATGATGTTAAGGCAGGTGAAGTGCTCCACTCACAGCTACATGATGGGACTAATAGAATGTAATATCAGTGGAAAAAAACCCCAGCAGATTTCCACAGGATTTGTGTATGTGAGCACACAAATTTTTCAATGTCCTCATCAATTATCTGAATTTTCTGATTACAAATACCTGCAAGGAGTAAAAGCTGAGAGCAAGAAGACAAACCCATGTAACAGTTTGGAAAGCTGTGAGAGCCAGGTGTAGTGCCAGCCACAGGGTTAAACTCACTTATGGATGTGGGGAGGGAGGAGAAATAATCTGTAATCATGCAATAATGACCCTCTGAGGGGCTGGGAGCCAGCACTGGAGCAGGGGCAGCCAGGGGAAAATGGTGTGTTTATTGAGACAAGCAAGTCACAAGATGGCTGCAACAGCTCGAATCCCAAAGCAATTTTGTTGGTGTTTTCGTTGAAGATGCATGGATGCAGGCATGTGCTGCAGCAAGACCAGTGATGGGGTGAGGGGTTCTGCAGTTTTGGGTCCCACCTCAGAACTTGGTAATAAACTGGAGGCAGATGGAGGAGGCTGCAAGAAGTCTGCACTGTGAGGGCACTGAGGAGCATGGGGGGGGGTGGTGGTTCAGGCTCTCGCCAAGTTATAGGGAAGAGCTGAGGTGTGCAGCAGCAGGGACAGCAGAGCAGTGATTCCACCCCTGCAACTCTGGGAGGGGAGACCCTAAGCTACCCCCCAGTCTCCCTGTGACCTCTGGGCCATATCTGACCATGACCCTTGAGGCCTGAAGAAACTCCCTGGCACAACTCCAGCCTAAAGCTTCTACCACAGAAAATGTCTGGGTCCCAGTAAATGCACCCAGGGCACCTGCTTTTCAACTGGCACTTCGCCTCCTGCTACTCTGTGTAGGAAAAGGAATCACCAGGCTCCTCACCCCCTGGGACAGAAGCTGAGCTGGACGTTCCTAACACAGACTGTTCTTGCAACATGACAAAAGGAAGCAAAACGTTAATGGGAACATTGCTTACAAGGGGAAACTGGAAGAACTATTTACATGTCGCTTGGAGGAACAGTATAAAGCAGTGGATCTGTAACCAGAGACCCAATTATTCAGTGAGAAATGTAGCCGGGAAGTCCCAGTTACAAAGGTCAACCCAAATACTAGACAAAAATCATGCAGTCAGTCAGTCAGTGGAGCAACCTAACTGCGCTGCAGCATGGCTCATTGGTCCCAATTACAGCGGTTTGCACTAACAAAGGGTGATCTCTAGGCTGTAAAGTCTATAATCTAATCTAAAATTCAGTGCGACCATGAAAATGGAGGGAAATGGGAGAGGAGAGTAATGTAAAACATGATTAAGTCTTTGCTAAGCAAATACAATCAGCGCACTTACACGGACAAGTGGTTGAGCGTTGTGAGCAGGTGGGGCAAGTTCTGGTCTCGCAGGGAGGCTTCAAATCTTTCTTTCCACTTGTGGAAAGCCCCTCGATGTAGAGATGCTGGTTCTCCCTCTCTCCTGCCGCTTTCCAATTTCTCGGGTCAGGGGATGCTCCCAGCACGGCGAGTCCGACCGTCCCCCCGTGCCAAGGGCTGGAGAGACTCTGGCGTGCTCCTTGCCAGCCACACGCCATCTTGTGTGTACCAGGAGCAGCAGGTCACCGTCCCGCCTCCGAAACCGGGCTCGGGTAAACGAGCGATCGGACAGGAGATGCGGGTAAGGGGGCCCGGGGAGGCTGTGGACAACCCGCTCCAAGTGCACTTCGCTCCCCGCTGAAACCCAGACTTTCTAAAAGGCGATTCGTGGTTTAGCAAACATAACTGCCTCCTTGCTCCAGGGAGGCACAAGCTGCCACTGGCCTCAGGGCATCCACAAACGGGTCAGAAGCGGCATCGGGGCGGGTGTGGGCTGAGGGCTGGCCACTTCGGCAGTTCGTTGCACCACTTTGTTGCTCAGTCTTGCCCCACCCGTGCTCGGAGGCTGCCCATGAGGGAAGCTGCCTGGGGACCACAACCCTTACCCGGGTCGGCGATTTAGCATTGCAAGCGGCAGTGCCAAGTCTGCTGTTGCATCGGGAGCTCGCCTTGACGCTACATCTTTCTGGCTACTCGTGGGAAAACTCTGTCTGTGGCGGGCTCCCAGCTCCCGCTCCCCTCACGACACACACACACAGAGCGGGCCAGCCCCGGAGGTGGATGGAGGCTCTTGGCACATACACGCGCGACAGATGCTCCTGCCGGAACCGTGCCTGGCCCCTCGCAGTCTCTCCCGTCTCGGACCCACGCTCCCGGCCCCGCACCTCCCTCAGTCCCGCAGAACGCCTCTTCCCTCGGCTCCGCGCTGCGGGTTGTGCTCCCTGGGACACTCCGCCCGGCCCCGCAACCCGAGCGCGCCCGCCCCGGCAGCGGGAAGCCCCGGCGCTGCCCGGTAGCCGCCGCCGCCGCCTCCCCCCGCTGCCAGCGCCGTCCCCAACTCCTCATTGGCCGACGCCGCCGGAGGGAGGATGACGCCCGGTCGGGAGCGGGCGCCGAGGGTATAAATGCGGTGCGGGCAGCCGGCGTCCCGCTCCCGCCGCCCCGCCCCGCCATGCCGCGCGGGTTCCTCGTCAAGCGCAGCCGGCGCCCCGGCGGTTCCTACCGGGCTCGCCCGCGGGAGCGGGACCCAGACCGGGACCCTCCACCCGTCCCGCCGCCGCCCCTGCTGCCCACCGCCGGGGGCAGCCCCGCCGCCAGGCCTGGGGCGGAGGAGCAGGAGGAGGGCGAGGAGGAGGAGGGCGCTACCGCCGCCGCGTACCCCGCGACGTGGCCCCCCGGCGGTGGCGGCGGCCCTGGTCTGGCCCAGCCGGAGGGACCAGCCGCCTGGGGCACGGCGGGGCCCTGCAGCGCCGCAGGGCCGCGGGCAGCTCTCTTCGAGCGGTGCCTCAGCTCCCCCGCCTCCGCCGAGTCCTTCCCCCTCGCCGCCTCCTTCCCGCCCGCCGAGAAGCTGCTGCTGCAGCCCCGCACGCCTCTGCCCGTCCCGCCACCGCCGCCGGTGCCCGCGCTGAAGCGGCCGTCTCGGGCCAAGGCGCCGGCCAAGAAGGCCAAGGCCACGCGAAAGCTGAGCTTCGCCGACGAGGTGACCACCTCGCCCGTGCTGGGGCTGCGCATCAAGGAGGAGGGTCCCGAGGGCAGGCCGGGGCCGCCGACGGGGCGCACGCCGCTGGGCGAGTTCATCTGCCAGCTGTGCAAGGAGCAGTACGCGGACCCGCTGGCGCTGGCCCAGCACCGCTGCTCCCGCATCGTGCGCGTCGAGTACCGCTGCCCCGAGTGCCACAAGATCTTCAGCTGTCCCGCCAACCTGGCCTCGCACCGCCGCTGGCACAAGCCGCGGCCCGGCCCCAGCTCCGACTGCCCAGCCGCCGCCGCCGCCCCTCCGGGCAAGGAGAACAGCCCCGAGCGACGGCCCCGCGGCCCCGCCGCGCCCTCGCCACAGCCGCCGCCGCCGCCCCGTCAGCACCGCGGCGGCGCGGACAGCGCCAGCGGCGCCCAGGTTTCCCCCGGCCCCGCTCCCGGCCCCGTCGGGGAGGCGTTCGCCTGCCCCTGCTGCCAGAAGCGGTTCCGGCGGCAGGCCTACCTCCGCAAGCACCTGGGCACCCACGGGCCGGCGCGGCCCGCCGCCTACGGCCAGCCGGAGCGCGGCCAGGTCGCCTTTGCTTGCCACCTCTGCGGCGCCCGCTTCCCCTCGGCGGACATCAGGGACAAGCACCGGCTGTGGCACGCCGTCCGGGAGGAGCTGCTGCTGCCGCCGCCGCCGGCAGGGCCCCCCGAGGGCGGCGCGGTGGGCGGTGAGCGGCAGGGCTTCCCCTGCAAGCACTGCCCCGCCACCTTCTTCAGCGCGCCCGGGCTGGCGCGACACGCGAGCAAGTGCCACCCGCCGGAGAGCAGGCAGGTCCTGCTGCTCCAGGTGCCCGTCCGGCCGGGCTGCTAGGAATGCGTCTGCTCCGGGAGCCCGGGCGGGCCGAGCGAGTCCCGTCCACGCTGTAATTCCTATGGAAAGCCACGGCTACGACGGCCGAGGGGCCATCCAAGGGCTTCTCTCTGCCCTCCCCTGTTGGCGGGTACCGGAGTTCGGCCCCGCGGCAGGAGGCTGAGCCGACAGGCGGCACTGTCGGGGCGGGCGGCAGCGCCCGTGCCGCCGCAGGGGGGTCTGGCGGTGTGGGCACGAACCAGGGCTGACGGCAGCACGCAGGGACCTTGGCCCTGAGACGCCGGCCATGCAGGGAGCCAGGCGTCAACTCACTGCGAGTACATCTTCTGTAGCTACCCCTCAGATAGAAGTTCTGCTGTACATATGGTATTTAAAGAGAGGAATTATTTTTCGTGAGAAAAGGAGCCTAATCTAGTGACCTTGTTTTAATAGCCTTAGCCCCTGAGCTTCAACATTTAAGTTATTGTGAGGTGTTTTGTTTGCTGTACTCTGTACTAAGATAGTTGAGAAGGTAAACGTTCATATTAAGTCAATGTCAAGTCATACAATAGCTAGCAAAACGTATGGAAAATGAATTGTGCTGTCTGCTTAATTAAAGTACGAGGCGTCAATTTCTATGGCTAAGTGCGCATCTCCTGCTTGCTCTGTGTTCCTGTGCTCTAGCTAGCGACCGTGTGGTAGGCAAATGCACGTCTCCGGCAGCTGCCCATTTCAAAACCCACTGTCAGTGGCTTGTCAGTACAACACTGACAATGGCACAAGGCACAGTTGGGTCTCACCAGGCCCTGCAGCGTGGCAGGCAGGGGGGCCCTGTCTGCAGCTGGCCTTTTTGGGCAACCTCCGACCCCTCTTCCCTGTGAGCTGAAGTGCGGGTGGTGGGCTGTTGTCCTTCTCCCTAACAAGGCCTACCTTTAGCAAAGCAACCCGAGGCACGTATTCCCTGGCTTTGATGGTGCTCTGGCCACATGCTTTGAAATACTGTCAAATTTACTAGCTCTGACATTTCAGCTGGCATTTATTTATTTATTTATTTATTTATTATTTATTTTTCCATGCAGGACTGCCTGTTTCTAGATGTGATAGCAAGTGAGGCCAAAAGTAAGGGCAAGCAAAATTCAACAAAGGATTTAAAACAAAGCTCACCTTTTTCTTGAATTCAGTAGGGCAAAGTGGGTCAGCTGGTGATTTCTGAAGAATCAAACCGATCCCAGCCATAGTCTTTGTTCTAACTCTCTCCCTGAAATGAGCACGCAAAATACTTCAATCTCTTGATTAGCATCCTCTAAAGCAGCTATTGCTGTAGTTTTATATTTTGTTACACACGACAAAAGAATCGTGTATATTTCAACCCAGATGCTGAAGCAAGTGCTAAGTGCTTCATTTGAAACGTGTTTCATGGACTTTCTTGGTTTAGTTCCAGGACCTGGACAAATGAATACAATATACCCTAGAATACAATATAACCTAAAGCAGTCAAGTTTGCCTTCTGATGGAGGAGGCTGAACTAGCGGCTTGCTCTTCTCATATGCCAGAAATAAAGCATGTTACTTTAAGTTGTGCATTTACCCATCATTTGGTAGTTAATGGAGACAGCTAAAAATGCTTGTTTCCGCAGTTAGACAAGTTCTCCCCTGGACAAGGTTGCTGTGTTGAGTCGCCGCTCTCCTTTCTCCACTTGTGCAGTCAAAGATGAAGGGCTCTGGACCACAGAAACCTGATTACTAACTGCTCCTACAATTAGGACTGGAACAACCAGCCCTGTTGTTGCAGGAGGGAACGTGTGGAGCTGCGTGCATTCTATTTACTAGATCCAGGGAGAAGCTTGTTGGCAGTACGGCGTACAGTATGTGGGTTCGGAAGGAGCCCCCAAGAACTTGTGTGTACTTTTTACTACAAATGAAAACTAAGCCATGTATCACACTTAACTGCTCCACACATAATACTCTGTTCTTCAATCACTTGTCAACTGGAGTAATAATCTTATCACTGTGATGAATGACCAGTTTCCAAAAGGTGGTAAGAATAATTTTATTGTATTATTAAATAGCATGTCTTCTCTTCAACCATTACAAATCTGTAGATACTACATGAATGACAATACATAATTTATCTTTTTGTTGTTGCCCATAAGATATATTTACACATGCAGTTAGTACCGATGTCATGCTACATTTTGTTAACAGCATTTTGTTGTTTGCCAGACTCAAAATGTGAGCATTTCATCTTCTGCAGGAAAGCACCTCTGGGAGGGTGGAATGCGTGTACTAATCTGCACTCACAGGGTTGGAATTGTCAGCATTTCAGCCAGGCTCCTGGAGGATGTTCCCTTTTCTCCCCTAGCACACATCATCAGAGCATGAATTTCTATCAGGAAAGTTGTTTTGTTTTGGTTTTTTTTGTTTTTTTTTTTAATATAAGAAACAAGAATTTACCTCTAGACCCAGCAGCCTGGTGAGTGATAAAGGCTAAAAACCCCGTGGAACTTGATGGCATTTACTATTGATACCAGCTGAACCAGGCATAAGTAAAATTTCAGCACAGTGATTTTTCTGTTTGTTTTTTTTCTGGCACAGACTGTGGCATCGCCTGCAGAGTTATGAAATAATACGTTGCTTTGTGAAGAAAGATTTGGTGCTATGCACAAGTTATTCCACTTGGACTCTGCAATGCTTGAAAGGCCGTTGAACTATTTTATTCTTAACATAAATAACCTGTACACATCCTGTGCATTAACATTGTGACATCTGACAAAGACTTTACAAATGCAACTTCAATTTAAAATTGTACATTCATTTTCAAATTGTACATATTTCTTTGTTACAGAGAAAATTGCAGTGGGGCACAATAAATATAGTGTATTCAAAATACAGTTTCCAATTTCATATATGACTCAAGATCAGCCAGAGTTAAAAGTGACTACCGTTAAGATACTGTAATCATCCAGGAAGGTAAAAGGTGCAGAGGACAACTGCACTGCAAAGAAAAAAAAAGAAAAAAAGGCAGCCTGAAGTTTGATAAAAACCCAAAAGCTGAAAAGTAAAATTCCAGTGTCACTGTTTAAAATAAAACATACAGAAAAGGGGAATGCAGGAGACGGCACACGCATTAGAGACATTATTCTAATGGAAGCAGTGAGTCACTGTGGGAAGGAAGGGTGGCCGATCGCTGTTCACTAGAAAGCTGCAGGCATCTCGCCACTCAGGACTTGTTGGCTGAGCCAGAGGAGCGGCGCAGTTTCATGGACATGCGGCTCTTGCTAGTCCGAGGAGACATTGGAGAGGCTAAGTCTGTTCCATCCACCTGTGCTGTTGCTGCTGCTGGAGTTTCTCCCGGCTGAGTCTCTGGGCAGAAGCCTGCAGAGGACAGCAAGAACCAGATAGGTCAGCGCTGCCTTCCACACTCGCAGCTCAGGATCTAGTCACAGGGGGCAGAGAGGAATTTCAGTGCTGCTGTCACTCCCACAGCATCTCCTAGCCCTTTACCAGCTGTAGGTGATGGTACTACACATACCCCAATAGCCACAAATCTACCTCTAGAGAAAAGAGGATGCCAGACACCACTGAGCTATGGGACTACAGGACCCCCTTGCTCTCAGGAATTGAGGCAGCACTGAAGTGGGTGGTGTTCTCTTGCTAACAGAGAGAACAAACACCTCCAGTTTCCTTGCAGGGATAGGGAGTTGTTATTCAAACCACAACCCAGAAGAATCCAGTCTTTAATGAGAACATGAAGGCTAACAGCTTGTTGAGCATGAAGGGAGCTCTACGAATGCAGCTGAAGAGGTGGAGTGAATCAGGGGCAAACTGGGAGAGCAAAACATCTCCCATCCCAACTTTAGTCAGTGCTTCAAAAGGCAAATTCCTACAGGGTCCACAAGGCAGAAGCTTGAACAGAACATACTAACTGATGTACTATATGTTAACGTTTCTTTGTAAAAGGAACAAGATGAATTTGAGACAACGGGAAATAGTTCATTAGCCCAGCACCTGGAGCTATGCTCCAATGTGCCCTCAGTCCTCACTGCCAAGAGGACAAGGCTCTTCCTCGCAAACAGCCCATCTCCAAATCTTCTTCCATAAAGATACAAAAGGAAAGGAGAAAATACGAAACCAAACTTACATTCTCCTTTCCATGGTACAGAAAATTAACACTGTGAACTCATATCCACAAAACGAAACTGCATTTCAATTAGCCATTTAGAGAGGCTGACAGCCTGATTGAATTCAGCTACCTGTCACAACTGTAGTTGCTTCTGACCTATATAAATTACGGACAGACGCTTAGTCCTGCAGAAGTCAATAGGGAAACCCCTGCTGACTTCAGTAAGCCAGAGATCACTTGCTATTTCTTCCACATCATGTTATTACTGGTAATTTTTTTTAAACAATAATAATGCCGCGATCAGAACTGAAGATCTCCCTCCCTCACTATACATTTCATGTATAAGGGGTGCAAAACCCATTCAAAAGTGAGCATGATTTATTTTTGAAAGAATCCTCTAAAATCAAAGGTCATCAGGTAAGAAGTTTAAGAGTACATTTAAAACATATTTCATAAAGTTCTATGATTTAGTGACCTGGCTGGCCTCCTCACCAGGTCCATCACCTCCCTGCTCCAGAGGGACAGCACCATACTTTCTATCTTTTTCAAATTGACATGACCCATCAAAGTGACAGGGAGGAGAAAGGGCTGTTATTTGTCCCCAGCTGGTGACAGTAATTCTGTTCATGAACTAGGTACTTCATTGCCAAACAATCTGGAAAAGCATGATAATGCCTGACTCACTGTGCCTTACAGAAAAAGGCAGGCAGGGAAACATGCAGTCTCATTTTCTGAAATTCTATCTTGTTCTAATTTTACAAGGAATTAAAGCATTTCAAATGGTGCAAGTTAGAGAACAGAAAATAACCGTTGTTGTTTTGCACAGCATACCATTCACAGCTAGCGTGAAAGACCTTCCGTTTCAAGCCTTTGCCCTTTACCTTGATGTGGCCAATGCTTTCTAGTGGAGGTTTTGGAAGGAGAAGAAATATCACAGCATTTCTTTCTTTGTTGAGAATGAAGAAGTGATGAGGAAGGAGGAGTGGAAAGAAGTGAGGAAGGGGAAGGAGAAAAGATAAAAGATAACAGGCGTGAGACATGAGACACGAACCGCAGAGATTGAAGGGTATTAACAGATGAGCACAGAAAACGGAATTTCG